TATGTGAATATGATTAAATTATTTATGTTTTAAATATGTGATTTAATCTATGAAAAACATATTAAGATATTTTTAACTCTACCGAGTTCCAAAATAACCATCGAACATAATATTTTTAGATGATGCATTTTAACTTATCTAAAGTTCTAAATCAGACTGATTTACACGTATATAAAAATTCCGTAATATTAGATATATAAAGCATGTAATTTTATTACATTATTTTATGTAAACTCGACGTTTAGAACTATTTATTGTAATCGGGTCACCTAACACGTACGTTTTTTCGGTTAAAGAAGTTTAATTTGAATGGGTTAACTACTCAAAAGGATTATTTTAGGAAATATTTGTAATTGAGCTTTCCACCATTCGACCTGTCAATGAATTCATTCGTACTTTTTCTTGTAATACAGAACTGGAAACAGTATAAAATTCCGTAACGGTGAAAATCTACATATTATATATATATATATAATACATATTATATTATATTATATATATAAACTGATCTATATATAGACTGGACACACAATTCAAGTACTTTTTTATTTATTCCTTGAACTCTGAGGAAGGTTTTATTGAAGATAAATTAGTAAAATATAAAAAAATAAGTTGAAAAATGAAAACGAACAGTCTATGGGGTAGCTTAGAAAAATGTTAGTATGTTGGTATGTAGCTAAAAAGATAGGCTAAGTAAAAATATATTAAAGCGAAACGAAGTTCACAGGGGCATCGAGTATATAAATATAAAAACCTGGTCTGGAAAAACATTACTTGCTTGATGCAATAACACTGCAAATTTATGTACCTATTGTAAGATTGAATTGAAAATTTCAATTCTTTAATTGAAGATTAAAAACATTGAATCCTCGTTAATCTATGAAAATTGTTTAAACCTCGGTCATACTAATCACCCTCGTTTAAGGTTAGCAAATAACAATAAAAGATGACATTTTCTTAATAAAGAAGGCAATAAAGTCGCAAATGGTGATGTTTGCGGCGCGTGGGACCGTCTTTTGGCCGCGGAACTGCTGTAGCATGATGGACGACTTACGTGCCTCGTCTTGAACACATCTTATTTGGCATATTTAAATATTTACATCCTAATAATAAACCAGTGACCCTAAAATTACCGTTGAAGGTTGATCTTAGAACCATTTCTTTTATTGTGATTTTTCCGTTATAGGTTTTTTGGTCTCAAGGTAAATCTTACCTACCTATACCCTCAGGTCCATAGCAGAGACTGAACCCTGAATTGTAAAATGTGTAAAAACGCATTTTGACATGTAAATAATTAAACCAGTGGCGCTACAACCTCATTTTATAGGTCTGGGCCTCAGATTTCTGAATCTGTTACATGATCATTTTTCAATCTAATAGGCAAGTAGGCGATCAGCCTCCTGTGTCTGACACACGCCGTCGACTTTTTGGGTCTAAGACATGTCGGTTTCCTCACGATGTTTTCCTTCATCGTTCGAGCGAATGTTTAATTTAATAGAAAGAAACTTCATTGGTCGATGCCGGGGATCGAACCTACGACCTACGAAATGAAAGTCGCACGCTGAATCCACTAGGCCAACACTGCTCCATTTTGACATATGGTGTCCCTTAAGTCTCGTCTCTGAATCTTACCCTCAGACATGCGGGCTTTCTCCATAAGAGCAGCTAGTTTTACTGCACACATACAATGACAAATAAATTGAAGGCAAGGCCTCACTTGGGAATAGGATTAACCACTTGGCAAAGTCTCAGTCTCTCTCAATCAAAGACAAAAATCTCTAAACCTAGAGACGGTAATTTAACTGAAACCTTTTTTGCGATTGTGATTCTGATAACGCTGATATTTCTGCTAGGTATATAGTGACAAATTAACTTATTGAAACGGAGCGTTAGTCCGAAGATCTCCATATAGTAATAAAGAATATTGTACATACAAAAAAGGCTTCTTTTTGTGTGGGATATGATTATAATAGTATTGGAGTTTCCTTATTCCCATATGTGTATAATGACTGATATTTGAGAATAAATAATAACACCAAATCTGTTGTTTTCCAAACTTGGCGATTATAAAACTTAATTTAAGTACATTACTGAGACCTTAATAACTCATATTTCCATAATCGTGTATGACTGTCTTTCGGTTGTTGTGATTCATCATAAACTTGAACATTCTTCAAAAATAATTATGATAACGAATTAAGAAAGTTTCAATCAAATAACATCTATGTAGAAATCAGTCGACCTTTAGCTTAGTAACATACTCACGTTTTGTAGTTCCTGCGTTCGATTCCAGATAAAAATTGAAAAGTTATCAACATCTGCTACATACCTCATTAGAGACAAGAGTTCAGACAAAACCTTTAGACAACTGTATTGAGGTCTTAGGTTATAGATATTGGACAAATAAAACTTAATTGCATGTATGCGTAATAAATAACACTCAAACTGTTTTTGTTTATAGTATACAAAAAATTAAGATGGTGACGGATTAATCGAATCGAACGCTAATTTTGTAAAAATATTCCTTTATTCGATCAATATATGGTCACTAACTTCACCCACATTTTGGAACAGGTTCTCAATTATGATCTATCAGCAGTTGTCAATTAATTACCTCTAATTAAGTAATGATCTGCGACCACCAACACGACACCATTTACAGGCGCCAATTGATATTTTTCCATAAAATTTACTATAAAGGCTAGTCGACACTAGGTAGTTTATTTATTTATAGTACCAACAAGGTCACACATAAGCGAAAAAAAAGAAAAGCAGAAGTTACACAAATTAGAAAATAATGCCTCGATAATAGGTGCGGATATAACTAATGCTTATAAATAATAAGTTTAGATAGATAAAAATTACTAAAAAGGATAAAAAATTACAAAAAGGATAAAAAATTACAAAAAGGATAAAAAATTACAAAAAGGATAAAAAATTACAAAAAGGATAAAAAATTACAGAAAAGGATAAAAAAATATAAAGTTTGGCAAAGAGAGTGGCCGGAAAAAATTCGTTCGGGCCCTGCAACAGATTGCATATTCTAGCTATTTTGTGTTGTGGAGCGTAAAACCCTAAGTTAGAGCGCTTAGTGTGGACAAAAATCTTTTTTTAACTTCTAGGAATATAAATTTTCAATTTAAACGAGATAAGTATATAAAGATTTGTTGTTTAAGACACTGTTTTTAGTGATATATTTTTTTCATTTTTCATTCAATCATTCAACTCATTTATCGGTCCAATAAAGTTTTGTCTAGTAAATTATCAAAATATTTAAAGAAATGTTGTAAAGCTTCTATAAAAAAACTGCAAGTATAGCGCATATTTTTACGATTAATATACGCCTTATTTATCCGATATTTTGTAAGTATATAAAACATGTGAAGCGAATTGATAGTTTCCATATAAAAAGTATTAACTAAGTAAAATTATTTAATAAATTATATAATTACAATTAATATTTTCATAGATGTATCCGAAGCTTTAGTCAAGTGCTTTTGTCGGAAAGGCAAAGTTGACACCAAAACTACAGCCTCCGCTACTCCTACACGATATCGACAATATAATACATTTTAAAATAATGATAGGTCATTATGAATGTTGTATTGAAATATATTTTTGTAGTCGAAAACATTAGCTGGGCACGTATTCCTCTTCAAACGACAATATAACGGTACAAAATATCATTAAATATCTAAAGTCCCTAAGGAAAAAGCGCTATTCTTCAGCATGGAAAAGGTAACATGTCTAAACAAAAAAAAATATATAAAAATTACTGGACCGATTTCCAAAAATTATTTCACAATCAGAATGTTACATTATCCTTAAGTAAAACTACTTTTTTAAAAATTAATGTCTAGCCATGCCAAACTGGAAAGGCCGCTAGTGCTAATATAAATTAAAAATAGCGAGTTCATGTTAGTACTGAATAGAATTATGACATTTTTATTTATACTTATAATATTTTCGATAAGTTTTAGGAAAATAACTCACTCTTTGGTTATAAAAAAAAACACATATTTCAATACATGATTGTTGTTCAATACATGGATGTTAATCTTGGAATACTATATGGGCTATATTGTAGGTTGGTATTACAGACAAAATGTTTTTATCTTTTATGTTATAATTTTTTCAGAAAATCGAACACAGGAGTCTAATTACTGAGCTGTGATTACAACCCAAGCCACAGACAGAAACTTACCTATACATATTTTATAAATTATAACATTTTTATCATACCTTTTATGACGAATTCTGTAATCCTCACTCTAATGGGACACATAACACATTAACACTTCACTATGGAATCACAAAAATCCACAAATTTAATAATATATTTTTATGTACAAAAAAAAAATTATAGTACCATAGATAATATAATAAATAAGCATAGAGCGCCCTACTAAAAATCGCGGGAAGCACTGTCAAAACATGGAATACAATTAAATTGTGTATTCAAACTGGTTACAGCAAAACCTCTGCGGTGGGACAGAACGCCCACAGAGTATGTAGAGGTGCAATGAGATCATTATAAGGTTTTCCACGCAAACGATTCACACCGCTATAAATACTTAAATATAGCCTGGGGATTGTAAACTACATTTCCGGAAAACAACAAACAAACAATGGTTGATATGTGTGTATTAGAGGAAACTTGATTCCAATTAGCAACTTAGGCGAAATGTTCCTTACAAATATTCCGCGTTAGATCCAAGTCAACAATTTCTAGGAACGATGAAATCATATAGTATATGGTTATATTGACAGATTTTGGCGTATGCTATTACGAATAATAACAATTCTGTGAATAATTGCGCGCGAATTGTATGGGTTTTTGTATTATCTCGGCAAAAAAGGTAAGAATATAAAAACTTGTTAAAAAGATTTATTTTTACTACAAAGAGATTTCAACCTGTTAAAATATTTTATTATTGATAGTGGTAACGAAAGTAAGTGGTAACATAAAATGTACAGAAATACATGGGCACATTTTTAAACTAGACATCAGCTGGTATCAGATGCGGCATGAAGTCGCCAGGTATCCCTTTTTGGTTCCAGCTACAACGGAACAAAGTCCACGCGTGATCTTCTGGTCTATCCCCGTCAGTCTTCTCCACACAGCTCTCCAACTCCTGTCAATAAAAATCATTTATAATTTAACTAGCCGTTTCGCGCCCGCTTTGCTGGACGAATTAAAATAAATTTTATGTTTCATTATTTTATTTTTTTTCATATTTTTATTATTCTTCTTTTTAACTTCCCGCTAAGAAAATTGAAATATTTCGAAAATCGAGTTTTTAACAGATGTTGACGTTTAGAGGTTCTAGGAAGCCTCCCCGAATGTTTCCGCGGTGAAGTCCGTATGGATAAATTTTCATAAAAGTAAAACAGCAATAAAAAAATGAAGGAACGTTGGAATTTAATAAATAAATAGCCATAAACCATCTAGGAAAAACGCATCGAATGGTGGTAGTTTCATGTCGATACGATCAGTGGTTTAGGCGTGAAGGAGCCTCAAACGAAGACCATTTTTCTTTTATATATATAGATTACACACACTTATAATACAATCAAAGTGTTTCGAAAAAAACTCAAATCAATACCAATGCGAGACCTTGTAAAAAAGTTAAATCACCACAAGACGTTCAGGGTATTTATAATACTAGTTAGGTATTAACGGTTTTTTCAACAGAATACTGACGGAAATACACAGTGTTTTAGTATTTTTTTATGTCATAGGAGGCAGGCTTAGTGAAACTCTCGTGCTAAGTGAAGGCTCGCAAGTGCGTTGCCGGCCTTTCAAGAATTGGTACGCTCTTTTCTTGAAGGCAACTAGTTATTGGTATTCATTAGAAATGGGTATTAAAAACATACCACATATCGGTAGCGAAATAGATACAATTTCATATAAATGAGGAATATAAGAGGAATATAATTTCATTACTAAATATTGAGGTAACGAGAAGTTAAACTTTTTTGCAAATAAACATTTTATTCTATTACGAAATGCTAGTTGGCAGGCTTTTATGACAGAATATTTAAGCATATTTGAAATTTTAAAATTTATTCACCAATGTACGTTACATTTAATATAAAAAATTCTCGTGTCACAATGTTCGTTCCCATACTCCGAAACGGCTCGACCGATTCCTATGATTTTTTTATGCATATTCAGTAAGTCTGAGAATCCACTGTCTATCTTTCAAACCCCTTAGTGATAAGGGGTGTCCACCCCAAAAATTTTACTTTTATTTTTTAGATATTTTTTTCTAAAAAAATGTTTTCTCGAAATAATATAGATACATGGCAAAACAAACGTTTGCCGGGTCAGCTACTAAATAGATACAAATCCACTCACCTTGGTGACTTTCTTAGCTGAGTTCCGTCCCAGCATAAGTTTGCTTATTACAGCAGCCTTCAACATCTTCCCATCTTTGCCGACCATCTTGCAACGTTGGAGTACGCAGTAAATATAACTACGAGCAGCGGGCCCACCCTTCATGCCTTTCAGATCGACTATTAGATCCGCCCTCCCTTCACCAACTTCCGCTAAACAAGCATCAGAATGTGCGCGAAACATTGCTTCTTGCTCTTTATCTAGCTTCTGGAATTATAAAAAAAAGTCAAAGTAACGCATGCAATCTGAGGCCGACCGCGTGCAGCGCCTGTGAATTATTATTATTAAGAAATGCTATTTTTTCCCTAAGTCGAATTGGTTAGAAAATAATACATTAGTATTAATTTATGATATGTAATTAACATATATGAAATACATTATTGATTGTTATACTTACAACACAATTTTTGCAGTCCCCGGCAACCTGAGAAATGAATTAACTAAATAAATATAAGAAATAATAATTGCATATCAAGTTTAAGCTCTGGGGACAATACATAAGATTCAACATTAATTACATTCAGAATTCTGAATTAAATACAAGAAAAAATTGGAAGAGGGCTATGGTCGGTTTTTCTGGGCGGGGCACATTGCTCGAAGAACGGTTGAACGATGGGGCTAAAAGCCCTGGAATCGAGGTCTATGTCCAGCAGTGGGCGTGGACAGGCTGAAACGATACCTCGATGGTCCTTAGTTCGATTCCTGAAGATAGACCAATAACTTATAAAACGTCAACGGCATTTTAACTAATAAGCATCTTATGCAAAAATTGAGTCGTCGCTTTTATTATTCCTATACACTGCAATAAAATGAAGCATGCTATATACCTGATGAAGAGCTAAGAGCGTGAAAAGCAGAGCGGTCTCCATGTCTCGTCTTTCAGTCAGTGGTGCGATGACAAGCACAACGGCAAGAGAAGCAACAAAGCAACCAGCGACACCCGCAGCAACGTCGGCAATAGCACTCGCGCGCAATCCGCACAACACGGCCATATATCCGCTCATACATCGCACCCTGCTACCGAGATACGACTTTTATTTTAATACTGTTGTTCCTATTTTAGTTAATGGATTTTCTAGATGTATTTCAATTATATGTTTATTACTTCGTGGCGTCGATTTTTCCTAACAAAGTCTACATAGATCTATAAGACTAGCTGGTGCCCGCTACTTCATCTGCGCAGGATTAGTATTTCAAGTAGCTTATATTAGCGTGGCGTAAAAAAACTACTGAAGATATTGATTATTTACGATAAACATTTTTGGCAGCAAACGCCAGAATAGCTCGCAGATGGTAGATTTTTTCCTACTAACTTGATATTTTGGACAATTTACACAATGTCTTTATAAATTGTAGCGATTGTGTTATTCCGATGTATAAGCTACATCCAATCCAAGCTTCATTACAATCCATTCAGTAGTTTTTTCGTGAAAGAGTAACAAACATCCATCCATACTTACAAACTTTCGCGTATATAATATTAGTAGGAAGTAAATAGATAATGATATAATACAAGATGAAAATTTTATTTGGAATGAGAGAGAATGAGAAGTAATTGATGATAAATAAAAATAAGTCGAAGTTAGTATCAACAGGTTTTTCTAAACGCAAATCTAGTCTATGTTTATGATTTTTTACAGAGATTAAGGCAAGATTATACATTTTTCAGCTCTATATATACTGTATTATGAGAAAAAAGACAATCTATTTAATGTTACTTAATATGCTGATATTGAATTTAATCATCGTTTTTGAGACTACTTCGATTGATCGTGGTAGGAGGGCGACCGGTGCTTTGTAGTTCAACAAACGTCGTGTTTACAAAACAACCGACGGACGCAATCACGAAATATTTTATAGCATCTTCGTCATCTATTCTTACATATCAATGTCATTATCTATTTCTATATCTTGTATCCCGCTAACACAAACCACGCAATCTTTTTTTTTTAAAATGAACGGTTATTACTCAAAAGTGATACCTTTTATGGAACTTATTTATGATTTTGTGTTAGATAGAGGACTGGAGGACTGAGCTACAGCTTATTCTCATTTTTTTGAACATCTGTAATAAACAAAAAATACTAAATATTATTTACGCTAACTATCGTATTGTGTGCATTCTAAAGGTGCGTACAGACTATATAACATAACATGTTATACAACATTGCTATACAACATGTTTCAGATAATGTGGACACTGAATGTTATAAAACATGTTATAATAACATGTTATTAATATGTATGCTAGGACGAACCCAGCATCTACGTTTTTTTGTTTTTCTTTTGTTATTTAAAATGGTTATACAACATTGTTATATTGCATTGTTATTCTAATGTGTACAGTATTGTTTTATGTTATAATGTTAAATAACAAGGTTACATAATGTGGACGTGTTATAAAACACAAGTTATATAATATGTTACATAGTCTGTACGCACCCTTAGTGAAACGTCTTTTATCTTAAATTACTCAATGTATTTGTAGTTTTCATGGCGAGATTCAAAAGTGGTGTTAAAAGTATAAATGTACAGTTATTCTGTAGTCTAATCATATTTATCTCCAGTCATTGATGTAAAAGTTACTTCAGTATGGATCAATAAGTTTCGTCCTTGATGCGCCGCCGTATTTGATGAATTCAGCGACGTCGAAAAAAATAAAGGCTTTACTTGTAACAATACTACTATAACGGGTAAAACCTATCACAGAAGAGTCATTCGCAGACGCTGTGAATTTATTTTATATTCGTTAAAATTTGATAATTCTACCACAATAGCCTATACTTTTCAACTATGTATAGATGTAAATATCTAATAATATTCCCATATAACGTACTGATGCGCGTGTAGTCGGTGCATACAGACGGAGGAAGGCGGTCGCGGAGTACCCGGTGGACAGGCGCGCTGCACCACGCACGGCGCCAGGCCCAGTGCTAACACAGCAGCCGCTACCGCCCACAACATCACATACACCGCCCTAATAGTTTAAACACAATAATCATAACATTAAACATATTTAACACTATAAAAACAGTTTATTATTTATTATATTAAATACAGCCCGACTGACACCTGCGGCTTACAACCGCGAGCACCAGGATCATGAGCTGTTCCTAAGTTAAATAGAGAAGGGTAATAATAAAAATAATAAAGTCAAGTAAAAATGTCATATCTAATCTATAACATAGAAAAGGAGGCTTACACCGCTGCACTTTAATGTATGTAACATTTGTATAATATACATACACATATTATATTATATTGACGTATAATATTCATTGACCCATTTGGGGTACAGCGCCTTTAGTTTCTTGATTATTACAACTAGGGAGTACCTACAAGTATTTGGGAGATAATTACTACTCATACAGGAAGAACATCGTGAGGACAAAACTCACCTGTTACGAAAAAAACCGGCCGTGTGGTAGTTAGCTAAATATTTTTCTATAAAGAAAAATAGCCAAAGGAACGAATAGTCTATGGCCATATACCAAGGCTACAATACCATGAGTTGTAGAGGTTTATTTAGTCCAAAAAAGTATCTAGGTCAATGTGAAGACACTTTTCTGGACATTCATCCTTTTTATTCCCCTATTAAACATATTCTTTTTCTTTTTTTTTATAGAACGGGGGGCAAACGGGCAGGAGGCTCACCTGATGTTAAGTTATACCGCCGCCCATGGACACTCTCAATGCCAGAGGGCTCGCGAGTGCGTTGCCGGCCTTTTTTAGATTATTAGATTCTAGATCACATTGGACTTTATTAAGATATTTAAGATCCTAGCGCTTTATATATAGCAAACTCTCATTCGATATAAAAGGTCAATCAATCAAGATTAAAAAAAACATACCGATTAAATTACTTTTTCTAATGTTCGTTGTAGTTCAATGAACTCGTAATAATTGTTTACACTTGCAGGGCCCGACAACCAAGACATATTGGAAAGTTATATGAATACAATAAATTTTATAAAAATATTACTAAGTCTTATTAAACGTCAATTTGACGTACTTCGATTCATTCTACTACAAATATGTTTAGAGAACTTCAATTGTATTTAGAATGTTACAGTATTTTTGGTCCCCACAGATAACTCAAAGGCTTCAACATACTAAACTTTAAACGTCGGTATGATTTAAAAAATTACAACTGTGCTTAGCAAGAAACTGCTTTAATACTGAAATATTTAAATTTAGAAAATATAATTTTCATATATTTACCAAATTTAACAAAACAGATTCAGTTGTACCCATATATGATGGAACTATTTATATTCAGGAATAGGATTTAATAAAACAATAAACCATTTGTGCATTGTATATTACCTAATACCTTTTACACAACCATTTATCTACAAGTAGTAGTCGGTGTATATCTAAGTAGTATAAACCCACACAAACAACTATTATTCCAGTTTTCAACATCTGATGTTGTACATAAAATTAATTCTAGGACTCACACAGTACCCCTTATACAAATATTCGAAATATCTCAACATCACTTGTTACGATAACGTCGGTAATGGCAAGCCATGAGTTCAAGCATAATACGTCGATTTTAAAAGTTTGTATGAAAAATCATTACAATAAAACCGAGTAACGTGTTTCATACAAATATTTGATAAAGACGGTTGAATCGTATACTTGGACACTCATGGTAGAGCCACTGTGTTCAATACGCGGCGGGCTTTAGACCAAAATCAAAAGTAAAGCTATATCAGTATTTTATATAGGACTGCCAACATTGGTTTTTATTTAAATTGGGCATTAATAGCCTATTTAACTAAATAATAGTTTATGGTCGAAATAAGTATTTGCGACCGAAGTGTAGCTAAGTTTATATATTATAGTATACTTTGAGTATATACGTGACCAATTTTTTTTTATAATTAATGAAAATTTTCTTTAATAACAATACAGGTCTTTCGACGATTATAATATCATTGTAGAATAATACTAAAACTTCATATTGAAGATTATTAAAGTAAAATAAATATAATAACCAAGTATCAGATTTAATCGTTGAAAAATTATTATAGTTTAAATTGATAGTCTTTCGTCAAAAGGAAAAATTGTTTTAATAACTATATTTAACGGATAAATAAGTGAGTTTATAGTAGGAATGTTAAGCTTATTGTTCCGATAATTGTTGTTATTTTATATAAATTACACAGAATGTAGTCCATATAAATATTTTGTATAAGCGTTTTTATGTTTCAGTTTTACATGTTTAAATAAAATCGAGATATGCCCGACTAGAATAAATTCTACTTATAGTTTCCGAATACGAGTATTTTAATGATTTTTATCCAAAATCCAGAGACAAGTTCAACTGACGTTTAACTTCAGTAGTAACTGTCATTATCAATTTCGCAGATTCAGAGACTAACTGCGAACTGTCAAATAAATGTGCGAAGTGAATTGTTTGCTTAATATCTGTACCAGGAGATTGTTGATTGATTGGAATATACTCAAAAGTAAAAAGAGTTTGCATTTTTACTTGTGTCTGAACCTTTTTTAACTTAGGGTTTGCCTGGTAAAATTAAACAATAAATTGTGAAGTCATCCTTCAGTTTTCATAAATGAGTAAATAAACATTTTGGTATAATAATTAGGTTTATATAAATACTATATAACAATATTATTATATAATAGTATTTATAAATTTATTTTTAAAACTATATACAAAAGAGTATAATAATAAAGTCTAAGACATTTACTGACAATAATAATACGTATATACGAGTATGTACAATGTACATACAGACACAATAATGTCCATAAAATATATTTTACATAGTTAAATAAAATACTTTTATATTCGAGTCGATGTTTGAGTATCGCACTGGGATTGGTATTAATGTTATGTTAATTTGTATTGCGTAAAACAGTAGACAGTATGACAAGATGGCGGACGCCATCAGGTCCAAAGATTCAATCATTATTAATACTGTGTCTCACCCGGTAGTAGCTTTAGCTTACACTATATATCATATAAAAACTTAATACTATTTAAAAACAATTTCATGTTTTGTGACCTTATCTCCACTAAAAATATGTTATTTAATTACGTTTAGTTACTCGCAGGGTATTTTCTAATAGGGAACATTATTTCGGATACATTTATAATGAACACAGTTCTATTTTCACATTAGTATTAATATATATAATAAATATATATTATAATAGATAACAATAGTTTTCATAAATTAACTTTTGCATATACACAAACACCATAATTATTTAGAGGCCAACCCATACTTACAGAGGGACGTTAATGCGTATATTAACGAATACGTACGTCGTATACGTATACGTACGCGTCCTAGACGGGTTTGTGCGTGTGTTTGCGTGCTCTTCGTCTGCAATGTATACGTATGAAGACAGCCACAAACACTACTAGAACTCCACCAGCACCCGCCAATGATACAGGGTGACCGTATACCGCACACGATATTAGTATCGACACCGCCTAAAAATAATAAAAAAATAATTTTTCTTCACTTGTTTTAAATTATATTCACTTGCAGAAGAGCTTCAAAACTTCTACATGATACTTCAACACCGCTTATGGTAAGTATAAAAAATCGTTATTTTTATTACTTGGCAAATAATTTAGAAATCGTGAAAGGTTAGGTTATGTTAAAGATAAATATTTTGATATTTTCATTAGACTTAACTATGGGATACGGCGTATACATTTCTTAATTTGTTAATTAATTGTTAGCTTAGGCAAGTAGTTAATACGGAGGTTTATCCGGAAATCGAACTCAAGAGCACCAGGTTATACGACTAGGGTTTACAACTAAGCCGTGCGTTAATATGTTAAAAGGCCCGGCACGCACCCACTAAAAGTGGGTGTCTACGGCTCTCCGCAAGCTAGTTTGCCCCCTTATCATAATAACAAAGGTAATACCTAAAATGAGTACTTATAAAACAAACCTGTCTTAGCGTCATGACGATGGTAAAGACAACAGCACCGAAACGGGCTATCGTCCGATATATCAACACTTGGCCCAACGCCGAACTGGCCGAGAGCAACAAGCAATCCACTACAAACATCGGATGCCGTAGCAGCGTGAGCGTAGCCGGGCGTAGCGGGGCGGAAGCAGCGGCGAGAGCGCACGAACAAAGTGTAACAGCACACATCATTTGTAGCGGTTTGAGCGTATAGCGTTGAAATAGAGCGGCCTGCCATGACGAGGTGAAACTGTCACATGCCATGTATAATGCTAGAAGGCAAACCCCCGAAACACCCATGGCTGCTGACGCTGGAATAAATGGTATTAAACATATAAATAAAACAAATATTATAGTTTTAATACGACGTTTTGGGTGCTACAGCAAAAAATAACATAAATTCATATAAATTATATAATAAAAAATTCGTTTGTATGTTAAAAATTATTGTAAAAAAAAACACCACCACCGTGTATGGCGTATTGCTTGATGGTCCTGGTTTCGATTCAAACACTAATCGTTTCGGATTTGAAGGCGAAGTAATTGATCTATCAATGTTGCAGATAGTTTTCTTTTGGAGTACATAAAATATGATAATTTATGGAGATCCAAACTTAGAGGATCTATTCTTAAACCCTAAGGAAATATACGTATATTTTAAATAATGTTACAAATTATTGGACATAGCAAAATACACCTTAATACAAAGCAATAAGCCTTGCTATTAATAGTCACGTAGAGTGTGAATGTACTTTCAATAAGTTAATCAACACTTTCTTACCATGTGTGTTTTCATGTGTACTGAACAGGAACAACGCCATTCCAGCGGAGATTAGAAGAGCTGTAAGATATTCGTAGGTCTGATAGTGGGCGCGTGAGACTATTTTCCCCATCACCATAACTGGGATCACTTTACATGATTTTGACAGCACCTGTAACACACACCCAAAATATATTTTTTTCATATAAAAATCATGTGACCCTATAATTCGGAATACCGTTTAGATCGTGACGACTATACAATTAAAATGTTTTGTTGTTTTCTTATCTTTTAATATTACGTACTTAATGTATAATACAACATAGATATGATTTACTAGATATTTAGTAAGGAGGTGATGATAATATTATTTTATTACAATACAGGATAATAGGTATAATACTTATTACATGCATAATTTTTTTTTTGTTTCATGAAATGCAGGTTGAAAAGGACAAAAATTATTACAGAATGGCAACCACAAGATGGAAAAACGAAAAGAGACATAGAAATAGATGGACAGACAATATAAAGAGAATAGGAAGCACAACTTGGACAAGAAGAGCTAACATTATAATGGAAGAATGGAAGCAGCTGGAAGAGGCCTATGTGTCACAGCACACGCTGGTCACCAAAACCGGCACATCTGATGTATTAGATTAAGTTAGCTTATGTAACATACATGTTTTTTACATATAATACTAGGGTGTCAGCAATAATGGCTTAATAATAATAACATGCATGAAAGGCATTTTCATTCACACCAAAAAAAATTTGGCTAATCTTACAACAAATAATGGACACTCAATAATAATAACAGAGTTTAGCCATACATACTTTAGGTATATTATATAGTTTACTTTATTTTGAGATTAAAGCAAGATATAATAATAATATTTACCTGTGTAGGAAAGCTGACATACTTTAGAGCCTCGTACTGACACCATGCACTGACAATGTTTGTGAGCGAGCAATATGAAAACTTATACAAAGGTGCTGCAAATACTGGTTCGCCAGTCCAACGCAAACGACCAAAGGCCAATGCAAATGCTGACACCCGATTTATCAGCACCAAGAATTGGGAATCGTTAAAGCGGGACACAGACCCATCCTTCCAAACGTATTCCTGACAAAAAAATACAAGATTAAAGTCTGACTTTTCTGTATTCAGTTCCACTTACATGTAAGTACTGATAAAGAGGAAACTTGGTCATACATTAATAAACTCAAATTGTAATCTATGATCAAGAACATTAAAAGCATTATTTTACTTTCAATGTTTATTTGCCAAATTTAAAAGATTTGTACTCCTGTATTTTTTTAAATTTCAATAAAATATTCCTTAAAACTAAGAGATTAATTTACCTGTGTCATAATCTTTTCCTGTAAGAGACCCCAGATGAGGTAGGAACCCATAAGGCCGCTGAAACAGATTATCATCTCCAGTACCTCCCTCTTCTCATCCTCCTTTGGTTTTATTGTATCTGGGATTCTCTCATTTTGTTCTGCATACAATGTGTGAAGTGCTCGAGATACCCAGGTACTGTTTGCTAAATTATTTAAAAAATATTAATAAGACGGATTAAATTCATTTGGAAAAAAAAAATTATATTCTACTAGTATTTTGTTTACATTAATTTATTATAGGCTGATAACTACTCATACATTTTCTGCATAACTTTACTGTAAACATAATATTCACTATCAGTAGATAAAAATTCCAAATATTTATTTGTTGTTTTATATAGCATTAACATTTATTTGCCATTTAAATATATTAAAAATAGATTACAGGAAGTCACTTACATATTTTTTCAAAATAGTTGATTTGCTGAAGATACTTGTATAGCAAAAAAGCAGGTAATAACACTGTCGAATAGCCTACACAGTTTAACAATAAGCGGAAGACCCTGAAATTTTAACAAAATTAGTATACACCCTTAAACTTATGTTATACTTTGTTTTGAACACATGATCTGATATTTAATAGCTCTATCACTATAAAATACAGAAGGCAAAAGATATTAAATTATGTATTCATAACATTTATAACAAACAAACTAATTATGTCTATAAAAACTACTTACCAAGAGTATTCTGACTGTGCAAGAATACCATTCTGCTCATATAAACCCAGGAGCTGATGGTAGAGCTGCCCTAACAGCCAAATCACAGCTATGGAGCATGATAACACCAACCTGAGCATATTTTCAATAAAGTAGATATTTATAAAACAACAACAGTATTTAATAAGTGCTAAATTTAAATGAGAGGTAATAATTTATGCTTGTATTATTTTTATTAGATAAAACACTTATTTAATGAGTTTAGCACACTGTACTGAAAAGAATATGAATTCTAACTGGAAATGCAATAGTGTGGCCAACTGTATGTTTATAATAGATATAAAATTAATAAATTATTCTGACAGCAGCAATGTTTGGCCTTGGTTTGTTAAATAATGATAAAACTAAGTTACATAAACACTATTTAATATTAATAATAAGTGCTGACATTAGAATTGTGTATAACTCAAATATCGCTGTACAATAGAGTTTGTGAGTCAATGACCTAATAAAAAAATAAATAATTTAGAATGCATCTATACATTTATGCAGTTAGAAAATAGAAACTAGAATATCGGTATACTGTAAGTACTTAAATTTGAATAATCTTACCCTATTTGAATTTTCGACCTCATTTTGTATTTATATTAAGTCCATTCATATATTTTTATATAACAATTAACTGCATTATTTCATATATTAAGTGCCTATTATTGTAAGCCTCTTTTTACTAAAAATATTTATTGCTCAGTCTGGTCCTACAGCTAAGTTTACCAAGCAGGCGTCAGGCGCCAAGTAAAATCACATGATTGTGTCAGTTTCAAATGAAGTAGTCAATGTCAATCTTCAAGTTCTATGGTAGTCTTATTTTTTTTATGTAAAGCCGGTTCATGTACGTTTTACGTTTCAGAATACACGTACGTGCACGATAATATTACCATTAAAAAATGTAGTCAATTTTATGACGGCCAATAAAAGCGGGTTCTTAGAGCGGATTGCTATTTCGCATCATTATCGTATCAAAAACTGCGGTGGTACTCTGTTACTCCCAAATCCCAATAGTGATAACAATTAAGAGAACTAACCAATATCAACATTGCATAAAAAAACGTCGGTGTATTGTTGACTGTTGTAATAACAGAGTATCTGGGGCCTTAGTCAAGATGCCTTAACAGTAGTGTATGTAGAAGTCAAAAACTAAATTTGTATTAAAACTTTTCGACACGAACTGTCATTTCCATACAAATTTAGTTTTCGACTTTCTATATACACTACTGTTAAGGCATCTTGACTAAGGCCCGAGCTCTGCAAGCCTATGTACGATATATAAAGTATTCACTACAGCCTCGTTCTGTGCGTATTCAAAATACCAGTAAAAACACTTATTTTTTAATTCGTCGACAATGAAGTGAATCACTTCATGGTACAAATTTTTAATAGTATCTATTGTCTATAATAGGACTGACAGACCTGTTAGTTTAATTTAAAATTATACTTGTGTTATGTTTATATATATGTAAAGGTTGACAATAGTTCGACAGAAATCAAAATAATTTTGTAGCTTTTTACAAACTATATAAAAATAACTTTATAAAATATAAATAAAAATTATATATTTATACTTTTCTTCGAATGGAAAACATACAGCGGTTGATGCATGAAAACACCGAAGATGTGGTGTGATGATATAGCGATGTTCCTTTTGGAATTTTTAGCCGCTCTCTGTGCGGTAGCAGTGTGTGGACCTTGTTTTCTAGCGTGTGCAAGAAGGCTTATACTCGGTGATGAACTGTTAAGGTCAGGAGGGCACATCATCCATGAAGCCGAAGTGATGGGCTGTGATGAACCAGCTTGCCCCTATTACAAGAAGAATGTGAAGTACCTTATGGTTCCTGCTATGAAACGAAGACAATACAATTCACCAGCTCGTCCATGCTCTTAAGTCTCTGTTATGTTATTATTCATTGGTAGATTTTTTATAATAAATATTTATTTATTGTGTGCGCTTTATTCGGATTATGAATATTTTATACATTTACCTACGGCGATTAAAGAGTGACGGAGAGTTTATTGCCAGTTCTTTTCCGTTCTACGCGCTTGATTTGAGAACTGGCAGTAGGTAAATGTAAAATTAGGAGCATTTAATATGTATTTATTTTGTTTAAAGTGTATATTGTGTTACCTAGATATAAATAAACGATTTGATTTGTCTTTCTGTTATAGTGGTTATGTTATTTCATAAAATTAAATAACGAAAGTTTTTCAGATATTTATTAACTTTTGATCGTTTCACAAAGTATAATTATTGAACATGGGATATTTGACTTATAATAAAACAAACATGTAGGAGAGTGTACCATAGATACACTGATGAGAGTTATCTGAGTAATTTTTAATCATCATAAGGCTGCTGAGCAATCCCTTCATTATCAACGTGAATTTCTGGATCCTTTTTATATTTAGGACTTTCGGAGAGTGAAAAGTTACGTGAACATTTTGTAATTTTCTGTGTAGAAGTGATGGGTCTTTTGTAGCAACTTTCGTTCTCTATATAATGGTTTTCATATCCGAGTGTGTGTCGGTACTTGAAGCTTTTCTGCAAGAAGATATTAAATAACAGTTATTGTTTGTTAAGGGTTTCCTAAATTATAGATTTGCCTGGTCTACCAAGAACCTGCTTTTTGAATTTGCAGGGCTTTTTAAACTTTTATTCCAGAGAATGTAAGGGTGCGTCCACATCTGGCGAATGCGCCGCGAATGTGCAGCTCGCGAGCAGTTTGCGAGCTGCGCGCGTGCATTTTTGTACGTGCGCCGCTCCTGCGCCGCCCGCGCGCAGTTCGCGCGCAACCTAAGCGCCGTACGAGATCAGCGCGCTAGGGGCTCGCGTCTTCCGCCCACACCAGTAAACGGAACTGTAAGCGCGAGAACTGAGTGCGCGCAGATCGCGCGTCGCGCCTTTTACGAGCCTAGCATGAGAGGCGCACCAAACCATTGCCGTGACTGCACGAGCGCAGCTCGCGAGCCGTTTGCGACACACATTCGCGGTGCATTCGCCAGATATGGACGCACCCTTACAGTGAACGTTGAATGAGAGCAGAATCGCTAATAATATTCATAGGTAATGACTAACCGAACAAATTGCGGCCAGGACGTGTTTCTGCACAAGCAGCAGCAACGCCGTAAGTAGCGCTGCTGCCGCATGCAGAAACGACATCTTCATCTTTAAATTAGTTTTTCAAAGGACATATCTTGTGAGAGCCATTCATGACGAGTCGCGAGGGAGGGACGAGGCGAGGGGCGAGGGTGCGAGTGTGAAAGCGCTCGTGGCTCGCCCCTGCCTCGTCCTCGCGGCGCTCGCGTCCGGGGCGGTTTTGGGGCAGAGTCAAAGACCTCGTCGCCGCGAGTGGGTGTCATTCGCCCTCCCGCTTTATTCTGGCTTCACGTGCCGCGAGGTTGTGTTTAGTTTAAATACGCAAAAACAAAAACGCAGTAATGTATAATGATTGGTGCAAGACGAAACATTTAAGTTCATAGAACTATTTCAAAAAGAACTATTTGAATAAGTAGTGAAGGTCTGTAGCTGTGAGTAGCTAAGAATCGTAACGTTTAGCTAAGCGCACTTTTGTGGGATGGGTATTTGAGTCTAGTCTTTGCTTTTAATCAAAGGCTTGAGAGAAAATCAATCATTTGGTGACATTGGAAAAACTCGCCAGAATCTTCATTCAGCATTTCTTGAAACATTTGTTCCATACTTTGCCTGAAATTTAAAAGAGAAGCATTAAAAATAACTATACTACATATTGCATAATGGATTAGGAGAAGAGTTAGGCATAAATGACACAGTATAGCCCATACGCACAAACTTGTTGCTGCTAAAACTTCGACGTCCTCATTGTTCTACTCAAAGACGACTAACTCGACGCGAGTGTAAACAGGCAACTCATTTACCATCGAACAGCTGGGGCCCCCCCGGGGGGGGGGGGGGGGGGGGCGGGGGGGGGGGGGGGGGGGGGGGGGGAAACCCGCATGAGAGGAATGTATGATACGTAATTTTGACATAGTTGTCATTGCAGTTTTAACCAAAGAGCCTATGTAAGGTTAGGTTTTATAATGAAGAATATCAGCCCAGTATTTATTATCCGCGCATGCAATTCACTTTCTGTTCCCCTCGAGATTCTTTTCAATAAGGGATTAATTAAACAAAATAGAATTATATTTATTTTGTGTTTGTTTGCTTCCATAGTATCTGTAAATTAGCTCATATAAATTAAATCGGGAGCATGAAATGAAATAGAGAACTATCGTTCCATTTCAATTCTCTCTATTATTCCAAAAGGGTTAGAGAGACTATAACATCGCCGTATCAACTCTATTCTTAAGAATGTAATTATCGATCAATAGCATGGGTTTGTTGCTGGAAAATCAACCCTAACCATTCTTCTTGTTTTTACCGACGACATATTAGGGCATAAGGGCTTAGGTATTAAAATCCAAAGAGACACTTTACGGACTACCAGAAGACCTTCGACAATGGAATTAAAGGTAATAAATATCCTTTGGTGGTTTGCTGCTCACCTCAAGTAAGCGGTAAAGGAGTCAAAGCGGTCCAAAAATATTCTTGCACAAATTAAATTACCGAATAAATAGAAAATGTACCCACTACAATGAAATATTGTTAATATTAGAAAGTCAACGTTGAAGTTTAATTGAATGCACTACCCTTAGAAAACTCTGCACCGGCGAGACAACCTCCGCACTCCTCGGTCTTATAAACTTTCATGCTCCAGCCATGCTTCATGTTATAGGTACATTTGTATTTACCTATTACGCGTACTAACATCATTACTCGCACCCATACATAGAATGTGTAATTCGTATATCACTTACTTTTTCAATGTTGTACGTACTTCACTACTTTTTAAATATACTTGATGTCCAAATCACGAGGGTAAATCGCACGCCACAGTTCAAGGCGCGGAGAAGCCACGAGACATGCTTGCTCCCATCTCCGCGGTCATATCGTATTACCGTATAGCTGGGAGATACAAACTCAGCTTCAGCTATGGATTCGTTACAACCCGTTTCTGTGACTGCAAACAAATCTACAGGGATTGATGAGACACTCATATAAAATTCCTTTAATTTTGTCCGAAGACCTGATTTAGTAAACATATCTTAATATGTCTACTTCCATCCTTTTGGGTGGATGGTCTCAAAATCCACAACAGTTACAATATTCAATATTAATCGGCCATTTATCTGGTTTACACGTACGTTTAGGGGTGTTTTTCATTTTCAGAATCTGTGTATATCCGGTAGGTATATGTATACCGGCTCTATAATTAATCAATCGAATTTTAGATTACATTGTAATTATACGTAAGTAGTGATTGTTGGCAAGGCGACTATCGACCCTGACGTTGTGAATTCGAACTCGGGCTGGGGATCAATGGACTTTTCTATCTGCGTCATACGATGAAGGAATATATCGTAGGGAAAGCAGCTTGTTTAAGAAGGCTGATCACCACTGGCCTATAAAGAAAACTGGTACTAAAATCTGAAGCCAAGGATCAAGGGTTGTAGTGGCACTTATTAACTTGATAATTTCGAGAGCTCCCTAATCTGATCGAATGGTATATATAAAATGTTGGGACAACATTTTATATATACCATTCATATTTTGATCGTAGCAATTAGATTCCGTAGACTACGTACATTTGTTTTAACCCAAATTAATTTGGTAAGCTTCTATCGCTGTTAAGTTAATGGCTTTTCGCCGTTGAAAATATATATCTACATTAACAATATCATACCTGTTGAGTAAAAGTGGTTAAGTGAAGTACCTACGTGCTGAGTTATGTTTAGTCCATTTTTAGTGTTCAGATAAGGCCATGTCTAATAGTTGGGTTTTTAGCTGATAAAGCTAAGAAATTACTTTCTTGTACGTAGCCATGTTTTTTAGCATCATAGCTGTGCCTACAGAAGAATGGAAAAGCAGGACTTTCTTTGAAGTAGGGCAGGGTGAACCTAAGGGCGTATTGGTGAGCGTTACGCACCCGGCTCTCTTAGTAGTAACGATGCCTGGTGGTGTGAGTACCACAGGGCGTAGTCTAAAAGTTGTGGTCTTAGCAAATGCTTTCCTAAAATCTAAGTAAATATTCTATGTAAGTAAATAATTTCCCATTTGTTTAAAGTACATTAAAAATTACTGTACAAAAGTTCACTAGCCACTCACATTTAAAATGAAAATTAAAAATAGTTATTTAAATCGTTTAAGCTATGAGTGACTCCGAATGTAATTAGCTTTAATATATAATACCGCATGGCGCCACCTTAAAGAAGTTATAGGTACTCTACTTGGTAGGGCTGCCATACTAGTGTCTAATATTTATTACATCGTCCGAGAGTTATGTAACCTAATATTAGTTGTTACATATATAAACTTTAGTTAATAATTAGACGCGCAAACCAAATGCTAGCAATCAACGAACACTTGAAACCAAAATCAGCTTTAGTTTTCCCACACATAAATTGTAAAATAACATTTTTGTTTCCGATAAATTCCGACGTAGTAGGTTGACTACACTTATATTGAAGTAGCACCTTTAAATAAGGCAAGATAATTTTTGTTAGTTGTTTAATGATTAAAGCCAGTTGACACCCAGCTTCAAACAATAAATTTCATTTATTTGAAAATCCCTCTAACAACCGCCACCGAACTTAACTCGAGTCGTATATACATATATACTAAAATAATCCAATACAAAATCATATAAATTTACTTATAATTCAAATAATAAAATCACTACTACAATTGCTTACACATTATTATAATAGATACAAATAGAAGGAAGAAAGAACTTGCGGTCCTTTACAATATGCTTTACCTTCATCGAAGTATGCTTATTCCAAGAATATATTTTATCTAACAATTTAAAAAAAACAAAAACAAAAAATGTATAACCGCATTTTTAACTTTATTACGCTTATATAACTTTTCAGTATCAACAGTATCCATTACATTTCTCACAAGCCTTCTATATCTTCAACACATAGACACTGAAATACAAGAAAATATTCATATAACTTCAGAGTATAAACAGTCAATGTCAATCAATATTAAAAGAAACACGTGTGTGAACTTATGTACACGCGTTAGGAGTTATACTTTTTTGTAAAAAGATAAAAATCTTTTTAAAATGTTTATCTTTCGCCTTATTCTACGTTTGTAGAATTAATACTGCATATATTGAAAGTTTTATTATAACGCTATCTAGTTAAATAAAGTTTATTTAAATATCACAAAAAAACATTTAGACTACATAATTAAAGAAATTGACATTTTTTATTTTAAAATGTTGACTATGCTAACTTGAGGGTGTCGGTTTTTTGTGACGGTGTGCGCACTGCGCGCACATCGTAAAAACTTAAGCTGCGTATAAATTAAGCGCGGCAAACCATCGAACATTGGCGCGCGCGGCGGCCGCGCTCTATGTAGACGGGATCGCCGCGCGCGGCGGCTCGAACATTGCCGCGCTCGAACGTGCCGCGGGGCGATCCGCTCGCTGTCGGTTTTTGAGACCGCATCAAAGGAGCTTCAGTCGTTCGCTCGCGCGCAGTTGGGACGGTTATAGTTTTGGTGATTTGACTCGCGCGGCGAATACGTAAATATGGACAACGAAAAGTGCCGTTTACTAATAGAATTGTATAGCGCTAAAGAATTTTTGTGGAACAGCAAATCCTCCCAATACCACAATAAATCGCTGAGATATGATGCGTGGGTAGAAATCAGTAAGAAAATGGATATACCTATTCCTGACTTGAAAAAGAAAATGACTATCCGCCGCGGTCTGTTCGTGATGGATCGCCTGCCGCGCGCGGCAGTCACGTCCAACTAAATTTATATCAACATATTGGCTCGCGCGGCAAATGAACGTCAACTCTAGTCGAACATTGGCTCGCGCGGCTGCCGCGCTTAATTTATACGCAGCTTAACTCTCATCACTTTTCCCTAACGCGCCAATAACTTCAAAAATTAGTCAGGATAAATAGCTTATCGCCAGCCCTTACAACTAAGGAGTCATGTCTATTGTGTGATCAATTCTTTAATTAGCATTTGGAATGCAAAACGCGTATTCAATCAGGAGGCACAAAGTATTGGTGCTAATAATGATACGATGCGGTATTTTATTTGTATGCACAATAATTTGTTTATTTCGA